GCACTCTGGTGGGAAAAACCAAGGATCTCGGCCACCCCATGTTTCAGAAGTGAGCTAATATATATATTGGATGGATTTTTTTCCCCAGGAATGAGGAAGGCTATCCAAACTTTGTTCTATAGGCATTCATCTCTCTGAAGGTCATCTGGGAGCAGAAATCTCAAATCCACTCCCAACAAGGTCCATGGGGAAACAATTTTTTTTTCTGACTTATATGAAAAAGAGCTGTTTGACTCTCAGTTAGTGAAGCATATAGAATGTAACCATGCCACGGTTCCTATAGTGCGATTAAAAACAGAAAATGCAGTGCTAATGAGCTTCTTGCCCACACAGTAATTATAAATCAATCTTTCAAAGAGAAGAGCATCAAGATATTAAGAAAAATGTTATGAAACTGCATCTGATTGAATCATACTTTCCTTTTATTTCTAACAAGCCCCCTTAAACCATATTAGGCTATTTTATTCATATCTCCCAAACTAAACCATTTACAATTTGATACTTTGTGATCCTAGATTTTCAGGGAAGAGGAAAGACTCAGACTGGGGACCTTCGGCATGCAAACTTGGTGCTATTTAGAGTAAAGGCATTTTCCTTCTATGTGACATCTTCACTTTGTGGTCCTATGGAATTCTTTCTGTCACACTCCTTTTCCCATGCAAATTTAGCATTCATATAAAAGGGGTAGTTTCATCAGTAGGACATGCAGCCTACTTGTTTTTGCAAGAAGATGAAGCTATGTCTGGCTCCTGGAATAGACTGAAGGAAGCTCAAGGAGTTGATCCAGACAAAAAAAATCTATTACTGTTAAATAATTATTCAGACTAGATGAGCGACATTCAAACTATTTCTGAAGCAACTGCACTATACTTCCCATGAAGAATCAACTTCATCTCTTTCAAAACAACTGTTCTGACCCAGGCTTTGTTCAAATTAAGAAAACACACGCTGTGTGTAAAAGCAAACCTTTTTTAATGTGATGCTGGGAATTATTTGAATTCCCAGCTAAAACTCATTAAACACAATTGTCTGAGATAAGAGCATACCTTTCAGAGTTGTAAAAGACTGCCAAGCAACAGATGTCCACTTAATTAGCAGAAAAACTGACAGAAGTTCCAGCAAAGACAAACCAGAGTCTGCAGGGCTTTGATGAGGAATCAGAATCTAATGAACTTCTTTGCTTCCTGCAAAGAGCACATCACAGATGGCCGGCTTTTATCCCTTATGGGAGGTGCTCCCCTGGGTCCTGGGAACAGGCTCCCCGGGATCCTCTGCCTTGCTGCTGCCAGACTCCAAAGGCTCCAAAGGCAGCACCCCATTCTCAGATAGCCCTGGTCCCATCCCTGCATCAGATGCAGGACCCTCATCCAAGTCCTCACTAAGACTCCCTGACTGGTTCCCTTTTGTTCTCACCGTCCAATACCTCTGCTGTATGCACTGGCTGCCAGCAAACCACAACAACAACTTTGAAAACCCTATCACAATTATTAGCAACTGAATGGCCCAAAACAGAGTTGACAACAACTGGTATAAAATGATGACTTTGGCACTGTTATCAAGACTGCTGGCTTGGGTTTATCTGCATTGATTTGAAGGGCTATAAAACAAGTAACAGATTGGAAACATGGCACCATCCTTCCATTTATTCCAAAATCTTTTTCAGAATCTTCACATGTATTCTCTTTAAATGTATGGTTTTTCAATTTGCCTTCAATACCAAGCCTTCAATACAGGGAGGTTTTTAAAGTCTCTGCTCTTATAATCATTAAACAGCTTTCTAGTTTTGGATGGATGGATAGATGCATTGCATCAATATTATATCATGTATTCTTATATTATATCAACCTTTTCTTTAAACTCTAAGAATAAGATGGGGCGGTACCTAAATTTGATGAATTCATTTTTAAAAAGACTACTTTTATTGTGCTGACTTTGCTTTTTCTCTTTCTCTCTTTGGGTTTTTTTTACTGGAGTTTAAAAGTCTTACATATTTTTATTCTGTGGATTTTTTTTAAAATGATACTTAGAAAACCAATCAATAAATTTGCAAATCCAAACAATAAATAAATGAGCAAATTAACAAAGCTCTCCTGGTTTTTATTATGTAGTAGTAAACTAGTATCTGATAACCAGATATTGTTCATAAACCCAAGAATATGAGCAAAAGTGTGATGCATGGGTTCAGATCAGTGGTTCCCAGCTTTTGCGGCTTGGTGGCCCAGGGAGAGAGGGGGGAACTGGCCCGCTATGCATTCACACCTGCAGTTCAACTTCAACATGAGCAGCAGCTTGATGCAAATGTGCTTGTGTGTGCAGCTCAACTTACACATGAGCTGTACATGCACGTGCATGGGAGTTGGCCTGCCGCTTGCACAAATCAAGCTGCACATCCATGTGTGCATATGGGTCCCCCACTTGTGAGGTCCCGTTCTGGTGGTGGGCCACAGTGTGATGTTTGGGGACCCTTGGTTTAGCATATAGAGTTTAGAAATGGGTAAAAGATTGATAAATAAAAGATTATTAGCCCAGGAAACTCACTGACTAATTTATCCCAAGGTTTGTTGTAAAGTTAAAAATGTGACAATCCTGCATCTTTTTCTCCTAAGCTCTCTTGCAGAGTAAACTTGTTAAATTAGCTGAAGTGTTCTTATAACCCAAATCTCTTAAGAAAAAGGAAAATCCCTTATCTCTTTGGACAGAAAGTCACAGCAACAACAGGGCTTTGGGAAGAACATTTTATTGCTAAGCATATTCTTGAACAAAAAGGCAATTATGAAAAAAAAAAGAACAGGGGAAAAAGGAAAGGATGGAGAGAAGAAAGGAAACAAAAGTGAAAGATAACGGCACAATAACGTCAACAAAAATCTTCACAGTTCTGTTCAGAAAATAATAGTGAAATGGGAGAAGCTTCTAGACAGAAATGCACATGTTCCCCAAAATCTGTCCCAAACAAACAGAGAAAAAGAAAAGAAAAGTGGGATTTCCTAAAGAAAAAAAAAAGCAGAAAATCATTTCACAAGACTCCAAGAACAGCAGCAATCTTTTACAGACATCAAGATATAATCAACTCCATATATGTCTGGCCAGTGAGGCTGTTGAAAATCATTCTTTCACATCTTTTAAAAACCAGTCTTTCTCTCTCTCTCTCTCTTCCTTTCTTTCTCTGTTGTAGTGTAAAAAATAAAATAAAAATTAAACCAAAGAAAACAAAATAAACCTCTCACACACCAAAAAGATTTGTTAGCCAGGTAAGCCTCTTCTCAAAGCATATGAGAAGGCTGCCTTTTTTATTGTTCCCATGTGCGTGTGTGCATTAGATAACACGTCTTCAAAGATTCATGCGACTTATAAACACCAGCAAGAGTAGATTTCTAAACCTAAACAGCTGATTAGATTTCATCTGTACACAGGAAAATTGTACATTTTTTTTAATTTGCCAAGTCCTCTAAGTTATGTGTTTTCCCTGTTTCTATCAATCTCACTGTCCTCCTTGTTTGCCTTTATTTATTATTGTTATTTTTTGCACATGATATTTGTGGCCAGAAAACACCAGTTGATTATTTTTACTGTACAGTAAGTTGCTCTTTAAAAAAAAATGGAAGAGATTTTTTTTTTAAAAAAGAAACAATACAACAATTAAGTACACTGAATATAATCAACAACTCAATGAAATCTCAGAGCATTTTATGTACATTAGGGTACTCATTTAGAAATTACACCAGCCAAAAAAAATTGTAGTAAAATATGTAAACAAAAAATTATTCTTATCTGAAAATTGTTTTTTTTTTTTGACACAGGTAACTGTGACAAGGTTAAAATGCACACTCTGTTCACATTTTTAAAGTTTAGATTTTTGCTGTTTTGTAAAAACATTTTCTCTTTACAACAGTCTCATTTCATATTAAGATTTTAACAGCATTTCTGTTCCAGTCATCCCATCAAACATACCATGATAAATATATCTGTGTCTGTATATATATATATATATATATTTATATTTATTTATTTATATATATATTATACTATTAATAAGCTCCTTTATTTTTTCTGTGTGTCATAAGGACTTTTTAAATTTATCTTCTTTCATATAAAAGTCAAGGGATAGGGAGCATAGGGCAAATGGAAGGACAACGAATCAGAAATGTCAATCTACAAAATTAAATTGTTACATATGAAACATACCATCTTGGTTTGGTTTGTTTTAAAGCACAATCCCTATTTTTAATTCCTCCATGACATTTTTTGGCTTGTGTGACATGTGATTTTGTCACAAGACAAACTCCATAATCTTTCCAAAGACTTTATTCAGTTGATCACTACTCTGCATTCATACAGTGTCCTATGCCAAAGAACCAGACAATGGCTCCCTTATTTTTGCTTGGACTATTCAATTGAAAATAACTACTTTGATTTTGATGCTGTTGTTTTTTCCCCATAATTGAGCAAATGGTAATCAGACATGGCTAGGGGCTTCTAGTCAAAGAAGAAACTGTTATCCTCTTATGACTTTATCAATGAATAACTAGAGCCAGTATCTGGGGTTGTCCAATATTCCATGACCATCATTTTCTGCATGATCACCATCACTGCCTCTTCCTCATCTTTCTTTTTTATGTTAACGACTTACTGCAGACAACAGATTCAAGAGACAACACAACCTGATATGTAGAGCAAACACTGTGAATGGAACTTGAGTTCATATATGGCAACAGTCTTTATTTAGTATATTTTTCCCCAAGATTTCTTCTTGACTTATGTCCTGGCTCATTCTCCCAAAACCTCTCACAGAAAATGAAAAAAACTCAGACAAAAAATATAATGAAAACCCCAAACCATTTTTTATTATTAGTATTACTATTTCTTTCCCCCTCACATCTTGAAAAAATGATACTCAGGCTGAACACGGACAGATCAGTTGTTCTGTTTTGTTTCTAATATTTCCACTTTTTTTTCTTTTTCTATTTTTTTGTTATTTTTTAAAATAATAAACTGGAAAAAAATAGAGTACAGTCAAAGATTGTGAACATCATTAAAGACTCACTTGGAGATACGAAACAAGTAAGCCGTGAAGTCTTCTGCCCTTGCAGAACAGTTCAGCTGAGGAGGAACTCGGAAGGCTTTTAAGTCTGCCAACATGGATATGCTGGGGAGGCCTTCTTTTGAACACTATATGTGCTTTATAATACAGGAGGGCAGAGTTTGGGGACTCCAAGCAGTGATCTGAAAACTTAGCAGTCAACGACTGAAATGTTTATGCTCAACATTGGTCTCAAACCGCAGACGGTTTCTCCCAATCTCGTTGGCTGCAACAGTTTTGGTTCAGTTATAGCTCATTCAATATTTATATATTTATATATAAATATTTTTGTTTTGTTTTTACACATAATATTCTTTGTCCTTGTTTTTCTGTTTCTTGTGGCCGCTCTTTGAACTCTGCTGCTTCTCCTTCATGAGCGTGCCATTGCTCTGGGCTGAGTTGCTGATGTAGTTACGCGTCTCATCCACCTGATAGGACCCTTCGTCCCTGTTCCTGTACTTGTACATGGCATACAGGAGGATCAGGATGCAGAGGGCAGCAGCAGCTACAATGCCGACGACCATTCCCGTTGTGCTGCTCGACTCACGGACCACCTCTGAGGCCCCCGGAACCCGTCTGATTCCTGGCTCCGTGGGGTTTGCTGTGGGCACATTACGGAACATGGGGGAAGTTATTAGTGGACTCTTCAGTTTTGTGCTGTCTAGCTCATAGGCAGTGGGCAACGGAAGCAAGACTATATCAGGCTGGGGTTTGAGGTCACGGTTATTCATGTTGCCAGCTGGCAATTTGGGCACCATCCCAGTCGAGGACGAAGCTGTGGAGCGGATCAGCTCAGGGGACAAAGCTGTGATAGCAGTCCTACCAGTTTCGGAGACTTTGTTAGGTCTAAAGTCCTTGGCTTCCCACTTGGGTGCGTGTGCTTTGTAGCCACCTTCGAAGATTGAAGTGGAAAGACTTTTATCTGTTACCAAGGAGAAGGTGGTGTAAAAATCTTCATCATCAGTAGGGGGTAGATTAGAGTCAAAAGTTTCCCCTGAGCCATACCCAGATATCACCAAGCCATCATCATCACAACCATCGCTGCCTTGGTCCGACAAGCAAGGTAACCCCGCCTCAGAGGTCATGGACAGGGAATCTTTGGTGGTCTCAATAATGGTGAGGAGGGGACGGAAGGTAGTGGGGAGTGTAATGAAAGGTGCACGAGTAGTAATAGGAGGGATATCTAAAGGGTCTTCTACAAGAAGAGGGATAACTAATTCACCTCCTGGACAGAAGAAAAGAAAAAAAAGGAAAAGGTTAGTTCATCTTGATTGCAATGCAAGATGTGATAATTCACCTCACCTGTCTCAAAATCTGACTGTATAAACCTGCACATGTATGTGGGCAGCTGCATGAAATTAGCAGTTTTTAAACTCTCAGCAGGGATCTACATTTTTGTAAATCTATACTCCCCTCCCCCAATATTTGGATGCAGTTTCCCTCCTCTTTCAACTTTTCAAAGACAGGATGTATTTAACCTGGTTGTTGAAGATACTCTCAGATTGACTTGCCAAATTCTAACCTCATACATTTCTTCTGTTCAATGTAATATTTTTAGAGTTTTCAGTGAATGCATGTTTCATTATAATAGCTAGTTAGTTAGAAATATGTTCACTCTTTTGTTTTAATTCATAACATATGGAAGGTTTTAAAAGTAAAACTTCCCTCAACTCATGCTAACTTCTTGGAAACTTCATGAACATATCTGTGCAATTTATTAGCAGCATTACAAAAGAAGCTTGATATTGTCCTATTTGGGGACATCTGTTGATTTTCTTGTCTAGCCAATAGTCTTTGGAGTCCCAAAAGATCCCAATCCAACTATGAATTGAGCCTTCCAAGCTATTTTAAGGTTAACTGTATCACAACTTGGGCCATTAAAAGGCTATCTCACTTTTAAAAATTTGGAATTGATCAAGTGAAGAAGCAAAGAAAAAGATACCAATCAGGTACACTTTAAGATCAGTGTATAATCCAAATAACTACAATTAGCCAAATAAAATGTCCATTCACATTTTCCAAGGACCTGGAAGTTTGTGTCCATTTAAAAATGCTCTGTTTAGCCAAATGAAAATTCTTCTACTATCATTGCTACTACTTTCATAATCAGGGCTGCCTAGAATTTGTTGGATAGGTTGGATATTTGTTGGATATTCTTGTTGAAGAAAAGAATATGTGTACTAATAAATTGTTAGAAGAAGAGTAAAGGGGCAGGATTGATCCTTAAGAGTGACAGAAAAATAATCTATATACTTCAAACAAATTGTAATCTCCAGAATGAACTGCATCCTGAGAAATCAAAGGAATTCAATTACCTGGCCATGCTTTTATGAAATAGCTTGAAAAACCCTAGAAAATAGATTTAAGTCAGATGTGCCAAAAAAAGGAAAAAGGAGTTTCCAGGAAATGATAAAAATGCCCTGGCAGATTCTTGTGTGGGTCATAAAAGGATTGATCTGAAAGAATCTTATGTGGTGATTATCAGATGCAATACAAATTGGTACTCCAACCTAGTATCATCAATAAAATTCAATTGAAACAAATGTATGTTAAGCTATTCTCAATTAACTTGCTCCACTGATTCAAAAGCACTAAGTTCCTTAATTGGTTGGGTGTGCAGTAATGACATGATTTACATAATATTGCTCTTTGAGAGGGAAGGAGATATACTCAGTATGTCACTCAGTAAATAACTGAGCCCTCCTAGTTCAAAATATTTAAATCTAACCAGAAATAGTCTACAAAGCAAATAGTATTGTTTCCAAAGAGAAAGTATATTTTCTTGCTGAAAATGCAGTAATCATATGCAAAGAAGTTATTTTGGAATTGTTGAAAAAGCTTAGTTCTTAACAGTGGAAGGATTCTCGCTTAAATCTTCCTGTACTAAGCAATTATTTTATTTAATCGCTGCTATTGTTTCAACCTGTTATCATTCTTTTTGATTTTTATTGCTGCCTGGATATTTAGTCTATTGTTAAAAAGTCATTTTCTTTAATTTGAGCTTCACTGCTGGTGATTTCATTAATCTATCTATGTACTTTTCTCATATTCTATAGCACTACAAAGGGGCTGGTTACTGTTTTCTGGAATATTTTTCAATTTTTCAGTCTAGTCTAGTTCTGGGAGTTTCTCATCCTATGTACTAGTCAGTGCTGGGTCTCCTTAGCTTCCAGAGCTAGAAAAAGTCAACTTGGTATCCTCATTTGTTTAGATCCTTGGATTGATATACAGGCATTTTTTGGAAGGTTGACATCCAATCAAGCAATGTTTTGACTCCTGAAAGTTCCCAAGCATTATTCAAGGTCTATTGAGAATGCAATTTAGCCAGCCTTATATAATAGCATTTATCTCTCCTTAATTATGCCACCTGTGATTTAGGATTGAAGTTCTAAGATTGTGAGTTCTTAATTGCCTGTCTAAAGCATCTGAAGTGCCTTTGTTATGAAACTTTCTGATTTTTATATAGAACATAGCTGAAATGTCACCTACCCAAAGCTGGTGGGAAAGACAATTCTTTTTTAGATTGAGAGTAGACTTTGGAAATCTTGGCTATTTTGCAATAAGGATGTATCTCTTTCTAATCACAATATTACTGTAATATTCTAATCTAAAAATCAAAATGTTCATTTTAATGGTTAGTTTCATTTTAGTTTCCTATATTACTAATAGCTGTTTTTTTCTTTTATCTTGACATTAATACTTATAGTCAGAAAACTAGCTTGACAGGCAAAAGAGAGGCCAGTTTCACAATAATTCAGGTTGGTGTAGTTGAGGAGAGTATTGAAGTTGGATTAATCTATAGAAATAATTTCTAAAACTACTTTTACCAAGTTTGGTAACCTCATAGAGCAAAAACAGGGGCAAGTTCAAGATATTTTTCCTGATGGCTGGGGAACTGTAATGGGCTACAATAACCTTGGGAGACAGAAAGAATAATAGCAGCTTATAAAACAGTCTGATATATAAAACCTGACTCCAAAGGAGGGCTGGGGTAAAGAAAGTGTCTCAAAAGAGACACTCCCTAATCTCTAGAAAGTAAAGGGCAGGGAGGGGGAATTGCAAGATTTTGTTCCTCTACCCTGTACTCATGTTTTTGGCTTCCTGCCTGGACTACCTCAAAGGGCTGAGAGAAACTCAGGACAGGAAATTAAGAGTAAAGTGATGTTGGGAGATATTAAATTGAATATTTTTTCTTTTAATTTATTATTTATTTTTTATCCTAATAGTCTTTCCTCCTCCAATTTTCTCCACAACAATACTGTGTTGTGGGTTAGACTGATAGAGAGTGACTGATCTAAAGTCAGCCAACCAGCTTTCATATCTAAGAATTCACAATCTCCTGATTTCTAGGCTGGTATCTTAATCATTATACAAAACTTGCTCTTCAAATGTTACGTTTTGGTTAAGGATCCAAAAGAATTCTCCATGTCAATAGAAGCTTATCCAAATCCCCTTTTTAATGCAGGTCTTTATATAGCACAGCTGTCAAACTTGCGGCGTCACATTGCCATCATGTGATGTTTCACAATGCTTTTTCCCTTTGTGGAGCTAGAGTGGGTATGGCCCACCTGTGAATCATCTGGCCCATAGGCCGCCAGTTTGACACCCCTGTTAAATGTATAGTAAGAAGGGAGATGTGGTTTCCAAGTACTTAGTTAGGAAGTGGAATACTCACGATGCCAAATGCATCAGTTTACTTCCTGGCCTCAAAAGTATTGTCAATACATTTTTATGTACTTTAAGTGACACTGTATTAAGAAAAACACTAGCCTTACTCATCTATACTGACCAATCTAATATGTTCAGTTCCTATTATTCTTCTCATTATTCTGGCTATTGCTTATTTATTCAGAATATGAATTCCCAAATTCAAAAAAATAGCCAGAAAATCTAAAGGCAGCCCAAATGAATCTTGAGTAGCTGAATCAAGCTACTAATTAAAAATTGCTGGATTAATAAAGAACAAAGTCAGACAATGTAATATTTGAAAGAAGTGACTATTTAACAGCCTTGTTCATTTGACTACCAAGAGAAAATGCAGAGTCAGGCCAGAGTCTTACATAAAATGGAATTCTTGTAGATGAGAATGTGAGTTTCCTCCTCAGCAGAAGTATGTACATCCATCCTTGATTTGGTGGAAAGGCTAGCCTGAGGTATCCAACCTTGACAACTTTAAGACTTGTGGACTTTAATACTCAGAATTCCCCATCCAGCATGAGTCTCATGTCTATAAATCTTAAAGTTGCCATGGTTGGATACCTTTGGGCTAGACTGAGTTGGCTATTCTCATTGTAATCCCTATCCATGCCCATCACCTGACATACTTCCAAGGTAATCAACAAATTTTACATACCTTGAGGCTATCCTTGGGCAGTATCATAACAAGAGGTAAAAACTACCTTAACTTCTTTAACATATTTATTTTAGTGTTAAGGATAACTTAAGCCTGACTAACTGAGCATGACATTGCATTTTCTCTTACCAGTAAGAGATAATGCAATGTCATTAGGACAAAATAGAGAAAGCACACTACCAGGGCATGTTGGCCCTATGATATAAGTGGGAACAAATCTATTCCAAATCTGTTCCAAATTTAGTTTG